TGAGCTCCAACTCCCAGAGACCTACCGCATCTCACCCACCTTCCATGTGTCCTTACTAAAGCCATTCACTAATCCACTTCTCCCTCCTTCTGCAGAACACGAGATACCTCCTCCTCCCGAGGTCGACCTCAACGATACCATCTACAGAGTCCAAGAAATCCTAGACTCCCGACGGTGGGGCGGCCGGCTCCAGTGTCTTGTGGATTGGGAGGGGTACGGTCCCGAGGAGAGATCATGGGAGGACAAAGATGATATTCTGGATCCGTCACTCCTCTCCGACTTCCACCAGTCGCACCCAGATCGTCCCACTCCTAGGGGGCGCGGTCATCCTCGCCGTCGGTCACGTGTGCCAGGAGACGCCCATGGGGGAGGGGGTACTGTCACAGATTCACCAACCACATCAGCCACACCAGCCACCTACACCCGTTCACAATCACCTGATTACTAATTACGAACACCTGATGCCACTTACCTTAGCACTATATCTGTTCACTCACCTCAGCCTCTCATTGACTGGTCTCAAGGTTGCATACCTGTCCTCATGCCTTACCACACCACTCTGGATCTCCATGGCTCTGTGTCTCCCACCGTCTTGCTGGATCTTCCTAAAGAGGATTAAGATAAGGACTGTTACTCTTCAGTTTCAAGAGCTCAAGTTATGTTTCATTTTTAAAATTTACTGTTTGAAGCTCTCCTTCAGTTTGTGTAAATAAAGAATATCTGAATCGTTCTTCCTGTGTATGCCTCTCTATCCAGCCGTGACAAACAGGAACATAAAAGGACATAAAAATAAGTGCTACAGTATACCAGTTATACCAATACGTACTTGGCTGTTCCAAATCAGGGCTCAAAGCTGAGGATTTTTTCTACTGGCCCGGTTGGGCCAGTGATTCAAATTATTGCTTGCCCTGCCAACATTTTCACTGCCCCTGCCACAAAAAAAATTCAAATAAAATAAATAAATAAAATGGTTGCCTTTATCATTGTTTTCGATCTGTTATCAAACATAATATTTTAGATGCAAATTCAATTTTACAATTTTCAATTTCGATACAAAACTACTACCCTGACAAATATAAAATTCAATCATTATTAAAGACAAGTGAACAGCACAACTGAATATATAGAACAAAGATACAAATTAAATGATTTAGGATTTTATGTTTGTAGATGTTCAGGTACAGAAATCAAATAATCACACCTAAAATAACATTTCTATACACTTCACTGTGTTGCACCTTGATTTTCATAGCCATTTGAAATTAGTGGTAACCACTGCATTTTAATCATGAACCGATCCCCCCAAAAAAAAGATACACACTTGTAGCATGTGCAATGTTTGATTTAAATTAGACTGTATAATTTCAAAATTTGAAGCAAAAACAGAATGGTCTGACTTTAGCTTTGTGAAATTATTAATAATTATAATTATTATTATAAACAAAGCAGCGCTGTGCATATTAGCACTACTTTAAATTCATTACACCGAGCAAAGATGAAAAGAAAACGCCATGTAAACTTTTCTGAAAACAGTCAGTTCCCCTCAGAAACACATCCATATAAAATTCAGTATTTAGGCAGTAGCTCTGCCAGCTACAGTATTTTCTCCTTTTTACGTCCGTCTTCAGCATCGCTGGCCTCTGTTAATGGCCGTTTACAGATTAAACATAGCAATAACGTAATATTTCCACACAAATTACATTTTTTTTTTAATTATTGCGATGCAGTTTGTGTGCAAGCACGCAACAGAGATAATCTGAAATAAAACAAGAAATGCCTGGCTGATCAGTGCATCTCTACTCCACTGTAGGCTATAAATTAAATATAGATTAATCATTGTTAAAGCTACACATTCTTGTATGTATTTTTCCGTTCAAACACAAGAATGATGCAGAAAACTCAGTTCGGGGTTTGCGCATCAGAGCTGTCTGTGCGCGCGCTGTGTTCTGTGAGTATTGAATGGAGTTGTCTTTCTCGCCTTCCTGGAATGCTTTTAAATTGCTTGAATTTTTTGTTCTTTTAATTAGCAAGGCTTAAAAACAGATGCAAATGATAAACGTTTTGTGATGACGCAGCAGTGGCCCAATCGGGCAAGTGACAGATCCGTCAACTGTCCCGAGCGTCTTTCACGCTGGCCCCGGGCCATCCGGCAGTCCTTATTGTCGAGCCCTGCAAATTCCAGTGGTAGATCTCCAGTTACCCTGTAGCTATAATAAACAAAATGAATGTCATAACTGTGGAGTTATTAAATGTTGCCATAGCCCTTTAAGGTGGGTGTTATACGGGAGGAGGCGGGTTGTCAGGTGCTTGAAAAAAGGGACACAGGCAGACAGACGTAAAAAGAGTTACCAGGTGGAAATAAACAACACGTTCTGTTGGTAATCCTGTTCTGCGTTGTATCTGTTCTTAAAACAATCCACATGGTGTCAGAAGTGGGATCAGATTTAACTACAGATCGGAGCACTTCTGTCCGTTGCAATGAGACAACTTGAAGCGTCATTACCTCTAGCAAGTCATCCGAAAGAAGAGGCTCAGTGGAAGGGAGATGAGCACGTGATAGGGCATCAGCAACAAAGAGTTCCTTGCCCCGTTTGTAGATCACATCAAGACTGTAATGTTGGAGCTTGAGCATCATGCTTTGAAGACGTGCTGACGCAGTGTGTAATGGCTTTTTTAGGATTGTGATGAGAAGTTGGTGATCAATTCCACAGTCACAGGTCGACCGTAGATGAAGTCGTGAAACTTCTGAGTTGCAAATACCAAGGCTAAAATTTCCTTTTCAATTTGGGCGTACCGAGATTCAGTAGGTGCAAGCTCGTGAGGCAAAAGCAACAGGAGCACCCTGCTGAAGACATACGGCACCCAGTCCATGTTAGGATGCGTCAGCTGAGAGAACAACAGGTTTAGTGACATCAAAGTATTGTAGAACAGGGGAACTGGATACAGCATCCTTCAGCTTTTGGAAGGCAGCATTTTGCAGATCATGCCATGAACATTCTGCATCTTGCTTTAACAGTTCACGTAGAGGGCCTGTTACGTCACTATATGTGTGGAATGAACTTCGATAAGTAGTTGGTCATGCAGAGAAACCGTTGCAGGGCCTGTTTGTCCTCAGGTTTTGCCATTTGGCGGACAGCTTGTCAGGGTCTGGTTTAATGCCGTCAGCAGTCAGGAGGTGGCCTACATAGGAGACAGAGGTGACATGAAATTGGCACTTATCAGGGTTTAATTTCATGTTACAGGCACAGATTTTGTGAAGTATCTGTTTCAATTGCTCATCATGTTCCTGTAGTGTGCGCCCCCAGAGTAGGATGTCATCTACCACGATCTGACATGGTTGTCCATCAAAGAGATGCTCTATGGATCGCTGGAATACTTCACTGCCAGTGGAGATCCCGTAAGGCATGCGCAGGAATCTGTACCTGCCAAAGGGTGTCATGAATGTGGTCAGCTTCGATGATGCCTCATCTAAAGGGATTTGCCAAAATCCACATTTGGCATCGAGGATACTAAAAACCTTGGCACTTGGCATGTCAGCTATGACCTGTTCAATGGTTTTCAATGGATGATATGGCCTTAGGAGCGCCTTGTTAAGATGCACTGGATCTAAGCATATCCTTACAGAGCCATCTTTCTTCTTGGGAGCGACCATGGCAGATACCCATTCCGTGGCATCAGTTTCAGGGGTAATGACGCCCAATTTAGTCATTCTCTCGAGCTCTGCCATGACTTTTTCCTTTATTGCAATGGGCACTTTCTTGGGAGCACATACAGTGGGCGCTACTGACTCATCTACTCGCATGTGATAAACGACAGGCAGTTTGCCAAGCACTGTAGTGTCAAACAGATCACTGAATTCCGTACCTCTGGTTCTTGGTTTTGCACTATATGCACATGTGGTCCTAACTGTATCAGACTTATTGCTATGCTGTCTTGCAATCCAAGCAGTGGTCTCACATTACAATCTACAACCTGGAATTTGAGTTGGCCTTGTTCACATTCTAATATAATGGTGCCCTCAGTGTTTATATTACATTTACCACAGTAGTTGCATTGTTTATTGAAAGCAAATCACTTGAGTTTATCAGGGGCGTGGTATCTGTTGCAGTTGATGCAGCGATCTTGCATGGTACATACTTTAGCCTCGTGTTTCAGTTCTTTTGTGCTCTTTTCGGATTGCTCATATAACAAGCATATATTAACTGCAGAGTCCAGCGTGAGTTTTTCTCATGGACAGTTGTTTCCGCACACTGTCACTTTCAATCCTGTAAATGATGCGGTCACGTATCAGTTCGTCATTTAATTGTCCAAAGTCAAATTTTTTTTGCAAGTATTTTCAGTGTGGAAACGTACGACTGAATGGACTCACCAGGCTTTTAATTAGTTGTGTTAAAGACGTGTCTGTCCATTATTATATTCTTTGCGGGCTAGCAGAGTTCAGCAAACTTGCAGCAAGACATCGGGATCTTCCTTGTCCTCCCCCTCAGCGTACATGAAAGCCTCGGATTTTTCCACCGCGTCAGGACCCGCTAAATTCAGCAGAGTATAGGCCTGCACCTTCTTCGATTTGTCTGACAGACCAGCGTTGCATATACGCCATTCTTTTTCAAATTTGCTCCAGTTGTCAGCTATAAAAAAAAAATCAGTGGATCAATACGGCAGAGACCTTATTTATTAGTATTCATTAATTAAAGAGTATATTTATAAATATTATATTAATGCACAGAAACAGTTAATGGTGTATGACATAATGTTATATTGCGAGATACTGATTTTATAAGGGTTGTTGTTTCCACCCCTTCTTTTATTTTCTTTCTCCTTAATCTGGCTTCACACGCCATCCCAGCAGGTGGCGGAAATGCACCTAAAGCTGGTTTGCCCACCTCCATAAAACACAAAAAAAGAAGAAAAAGACAGCATTTACCAATTGTATTGTGTTTTCCTGAGCTGTAGGGTGGGACTTCCTGTGTCGAATGTTTGTTGTGGTAATTTTTTACCGTTCCAGGAACAGCTATTCGGATTTGATGTACAGGTTAATACGGCATAAGAGAAGACTGTAATCTGACCTGAAGTCTAGTACGGGTCATAAAGCGAAAAGGTTAGTGTACTTTTTTATGCAATGCAAAATTATAATATTGTTGTGATCTGTTGATATTGAGCTACAGTAACTTAGCTTTCTGTTACTGAATGCAAAACTTTAGGTACTTTTATGTGCGGTAATATTATGTCAGCGTCCCTACCAGCAATTGTGCCCGCCGCTTGTAGAGCCACGGCCGCGGTAAGTCATCATCAACACAAGCACACAGCGCTCTCAATAACAGCAACATCCCTCTTATTTCGGATTTTACGTATTTATATATTGCATGTTATTTTTTTTCTCCAGGTGATATTCCTCCATGGCCTAGGAGACACAGGGTAAACTCAACTGTATCATAATTATATGGCATGACTGAATGAAGTTCGTGATAAGCCAGTTCATATTTTGTCAACTTTTACACTGTTACCTTTTTTTTTCAGAAATGGATGGGCTGAAGCTATGGCTGGGATCAGGACACCTTATGTAAAGTACATTTGCCCTCATGCGTACGTATTGAATATTTTTTATTATAGCTAGCTTTAAAATAAAGCACGTTGGTGTGTATGCTTACGCTATACCTTGTGACCTGATATTTGCCTGTGTGATTAGGCCTTTGCTGAAATATGCTTGACTCATTTAATCAAAACTGGAATCATCTTTGATTTAATATTGGAATATTATATACTTTAAAATGGTTTTCAAACCTGGTAATGGGGAGCCACCACCGCTCTTCACATTTTGTATGTCTCCCTTATCTGATACACTCTTTTGATTTCATGGAGCTCTCTCCTAACTCCTGATTATCTGAATAGTGTTAAATAAGGGCAACATACAAAATGTGCATATCAGTGGGTTCCCCAGGACTGAAAGCCACTGCTTAAAAAAAAAACTCTCATATTCTTACCAAAGTTGCCTTTATTTGGTTAAATACACAGTAAAAAAAAAAAAACAGTAATATTGTGAAATATTATTATAAAGAACTGTTTTCTATTATAATATATTGTAAAATGTAACTTATCCCTGTGATGGCAAGGCTGAATTTTCAGCAGCCATTACTCCAGTCATTAGTAACACATGATAGTTTAACGCAGTGGTTTTCAATCCTGGTCCTGGGGACCCACCACTCTGCACATTTTGTATGTCTCTCTTTTCTGACACACAGTGCAGTTCATGGATCTCTCTCTCCTAATGAGCTGATGATCAGAATCAGGTGTGTCAAATAGGGGAGACATGCAACATGTGCAGAGCGGTGGGTCCCCAGGACCAGGATTGAAGACTGGTTTAACGGATGTCCCACGGGTTCTTAAGTCTTAAAGGGTTAGTTTACCCAAAAACTAAAAATTCTGTCATTAATTACTCACCCTCATGTCGTTCCAAACCCATAAGACCTTTGTTCATTTCCGGAACACAAAAGATATTTTTGATGAAATCTGAGAGCTCTCAGACCCTGCATAGACAGCAACGCAACTGCAATGTTCCCAGACCCAGAAATGTAGCAAGGGTATCGGTAAAACAGTCCATGTGGCATCAGTGGCTCAACTTAAATTTTGTGAAGGTACGAGAATACTTTTTGTGCGCAAAGAAAACAAAAATAACAATTTATTCAACAATTCTTCTCCCCGCGTTACCGTCTTCCGCTATTTTGGAGAGTTTCTTTCACCAAAACGTAATCAACGTAATCAGCATGGTTTACATTCCGTAGAAAATGTGCACATGATGAATGCAAACAGTGCTGATTGCATTCTGGGAAAAGAGTGCATATGCGTCGTGGTACTGTCCAAATTGGCGGAAGACAGTAACTTGTACGCTGCGTTCGAAACCGCATACTTTCCTACTATATAGTAGGCAAAAAGCAGTAGGCGAGCGAATAAGTATGTTTGAATCATAAGTATTCATAAAAAAGTAGATAAGAATTACCTGGCTGGTGCACTAATTCTCGCATTATACGTATATATACTTAAGTTGCTTTAGAATATGCCTACTTACCTACTATATAGTAGGAAAAAAAAGAGTACGTGAAGAAAGAAGTATGTCCGAAACTCAGTATTCATAAAAGAGTAGGTGAGAAATCCCCGGATGTCCTACTTCTTCAGCCCAGATTCTGAAGTGTGCATCGATGGACACTTTTCAATCCCAGAAGCCCATGCGAGACGATACGTCATCATCGAACGTGATGGAGAACAGCGACGTGGGTGTTTACAAATGTGAGTATTACAAACCAAAAACATGGTTGAAACACTGTTGAATTGCTGAAGGTGTAAGACGCTAGACAGTATAGTATATTTGTGATTTTTCTGTAAAAACATGTTTTATTATGTATAGCAAACGGGACCTCCAGTAAGCATATGTACATCTCTAAAGTGAATTTACATAAACCATACATCTTAAAGACGATTTCTAAATGTCTTATTTAATATGTGACAGGAAAATGTTCTAAAAGAATTGCAGATGGGAACATCTAATAGACAAGAAATAGACATCGGAGTGATGTAGTAGAATTCACTGTTGTCAACACTTCTTACATTAGCTGAATATAAGTAATGTAAAGTAACAAATCTACATAGAGTAACTAAACATAAGTTTTTTTTTTATTTGTTCATTAGTACTGTTGATAAATTGAGGAACATTTGTGTTGGATAAAAAGTGAGTTAAAGGGGTCATATGATGCGATTTCAATTTTTTCCTTTCTCTTTGGAGTGTTACAAGCTCTTGGTGCATAAAGAAGACCTGTAAAGTTGCAAAGACTAAAGTCTCAAATCCAAAGAGTTATTCTTTATAAAAGTTAAGAGTCAACCACGCCTACCTAAAACGGCTCGTTCTAACACGCCCCCACATGTCTACGTCACTGCTTGAGGTATTTGGCCAATCACAACGCACTGGATAGCTGGCCAATCAGAGCACACCTCGCTTTTCAGACCGATGAGCTTTGTAAAAATCGACGCGTTTCAGAAAGGCGGGGCATAGAGGAGAAACAATAATGTACAGTATGTGGAAAATAATGTGTTTTTTTAACCTTAAACCGCATAAACACATTTCATTACACCAAATACACAAAATAATGTTTTTTAGCAACATCATATGACCCCTCCCAGGTTCAGGAAACAGTCCTCTGTAAAATGCGTTGCACACACTCGAATATTTGGTTTGAACTGTTCTGGGACAGTGTTGTAAATACATCTTAACCACTGATTTCTAGTTGTGTCCTCTTTTGGAAGGCCAAACAAAGTAGTTTCACTTTCACAACGAAACACACACCGTCTTCCAGGACATGGCGGCAGCAGCAAAAATACTACAGCAAGAATAAAAGTTATGCCTTCTTTCTTTGCGTAAACATTTGGGCTGTGTTATGCAAATCTTCTCACACAGTGACATAGACATGTGGGGGCGTGTTTAAACAAGGCCTTTTAGGAAGGCGTGGACGAGTCTTAACTTTTAAATAGAATATCTCTTTGGGTTTGAGACTTTAGTCTTTGCAACTTTAAGGATCTTATCAATTCACGAACAGCTTGTAACACTCCAAAGAGAAAGGAAAACTTCGCAAAAAATCGCATCATATGACCCCTTTAAAGTCGTCTTTGGTTTTGATAATCATAACCACACTCTTTTTGCTATTAAATTTAACATCAAACTGCACACCATAGCTTGAACATATACGAAGCAACTGTTGCAATCCCGCACTGTAAGGGGACAGAATAACTAAATCATCAGCGTACATCAGATGATTTATAAGACGATCCCCTATTACACATTCAGTTTTACAATCGTTTAACTTTAAAGAAAGATCATCCATATACAAGTTAAAAAGAAGAGGAGACAGTATTCCACCTTGACGAACCCCATTCATCATATGAAAAGGTGGAATCATAAAAGGGGCATTAATTTACAAGCAGTGACAGAATCAGAATCTCATGTAATTTGTGCACAAAAGTTTTATTAACCAAGCACTAACACATAACTAATCAAACAAACATACAATCACTCATACTGTACATGGGGGAAGGGCAAGTGAGACTGGATGAATGAATCCATTAGAGCAGTGGTTCCCAATCTTGGTCCTGGAGAACCCCCAACACTGCACATTTTAGATGTCTCCCTATTCAAACACACCTGATTCAACTCATCAGCTCATTAGTGAAGACTCCAAGACCTCAAATGTGTGTGTCAGATAAGAGAGACACCAAAACCATGCAGTGTTGGGGGTTCTCCAGGACCAGGATTGGGAACCACTGCATTAGAGAAACAGGGAATGAAGCTATGAAAAGTAGTCAGTTAACCTTTGTGTCAAACCATCAACGCTGTTTTACAACGGGGTCTACAGCTTATACTAAACCTCTGTTGCGTTTAGGTAAATATTTGATACTTGCATTGCCTTGGTCGTTGACCGAGCATCTGGATGCAGTCTTGGATGAAAATCTTGATGGTTTGAAGGTTTGGTGGTGCTGGAATTGCAATCATGTTCTTCCAGGTTTGAAGGGTGATGAAGTCCAAAGATGTTATTTTGACTCCGTGGTGATTGGGAGTTTCTTCCCAGGTGGAAAGTGAAAGAAGAGCTAAGAGAGACATCAGCTGAGATCCGAGGATCGTTGGTAAATGTAAAGACAAGGCCGCAGCCTGGCACAAACTTAGGGTTCCAGAAGAGTTCTAGCTCATCAGCCTCATCCTGTTAGGGTCTAAAAGAACTGCAGACTGATGGGGGTCACTGATGTGAGGCCTTTATCTTCTATCGAGGTCATACCTCTCGGGGGCGGGGGGGTCAAAGAGCCAATGGTGACTTTCTCTTTTGGAGGGAAAGTTTACGACTCTTTAGCTGTGTCCCAAAGTTAAGTGCACTCACTTCGAAAGGCACGGACTTCGAAGGCCACGCCTCCGAAGTGCACGAAGGACCCTCCGAAGTGTATGAAGGACACTCCGCCTTCACACAGGGTGTCCGCGGGTCATTAAAAAGTCTTAAAAAATGTTTTCCTCATAAAAGGCCTTAAAAAGTCTTAAAATGTCTTAAATTCAGATTCAATAGGTCTTAAATATTTTTGGTCACATTACCGCTAAAATATCTTTTTCAGTCTGACGGACCTAATGACTGTTTACAATCATTGGACAGACCGAAGATTTTTTTTCTTCCCCCGCGGTATTACTGCTTCATCAGACAGAATTGCAGTAGTGGAATACAGGTTGAACTACCTGCTTTGTTTATATAATGTTCTCAATAATAATAATAATAATAATAATAATAATAATATAGGTCGAGCTACAGCTAGCTGACCAGCCTTCTAGTTAGTTTAAAAAATTGTTATTATTTTTTTTTACTTACCCGACCGGACAAATAGCCTGACTAAAATTTAAGTGACAAAAAAATAACCAGCGAAGCATCGAAACGCAATAATGATTCTTCTGATTTTATTACATTCAGCGTAAACAGTGATTGATAATGGATAGTGTCGGCTATTTCTGGTATCAAGGTCATGCTGTTGAGGCTCGCGCTGCCTGTCTCTTTGTGAGAGACTTCAAAACAAATGAGCGTAACAGCACACAGAAAGAAACACACTGAGGTAAAAATTCAAAATGTTTAGTTTATTCATAACATTATGTAGTTAAGTAACACCTTGACAAGGGAGCTATTTTCCTGAATATTTTCACGATTGCAAATGTCACATTGATTTTATTTCAATAAACAAGTAAAGTAGTCTGGTAGTTAAGTTACTTACATTTTAGACACAATATTTACTGTTTTTGTTCTATTTCTACAATGAAAATAGTTCCAAACAAAGGTCACAGCAGAAGTATTAAACATTCTCCAAGCAACACTTGGCGGGGTTTTGTTACGGAATGATTCAGCGTTTTGAATGAATCGGTTGAATGACTCACTCATTAAGTGACTTACCACCACCTACTGGTGGTTTAGTATGTTTAAAAGTATGCACCCCCCCCCCAACATTTCTTCATTTGCATTTCTTATTTGTATATCCAAAATTTATTTAAAACATTCATCTCATAACATTATTTATTGCTGTTGTAATTTTGCAGTGTAAATTATTTAATCTGACTGGTAACAGCCCTATAGTGTATATTGAATTTATTGATCAATTGTAATAATTTGACATGAAAGATTATGCATACATTTAAAAAGGTTGAAAAAGGTCTTTGTAAAGGTAAATAAAAATATGCAGATTTAAGTATGTAAAAGCTGATAGAACACTGAAAATATTGCTTCAGAATAAATTGTTTACACCACCAAAAATCTCAGTGATGCAGTACGTTTGTGGGGATATTTTGTATGGAATATTGTCTGCTGATATGAAAAGTTCACAGTATATCATGGTAATAAATATCATTTATGATAGAGATGATATTTTTTTTTTCTTTTTACCTTAAACACATTAAATATTACATATGTATGTAATATAATGTGCATTTCCATTACAGGATTAGGTCTTAAATTTCATATAAGATGGTATTAAAAAGGTCTTAAAAAGTCTTAAATTTAACTTGTTCATATCTGCAGAAACCCTGGGGATTTCCTAATTGCGACACCAGAGGTTCCTGATTAGTGCTCTGTCGCATAGCAACAGTGCGAGAGCTGACGAGAGGACAATCCTGCCAGGATAGGTGGAGCCAGCCGCTCCGAGTCCTTCAGATGCAGCCTTTGATATAGTTAGCAAACATTTGTTAATATTCTGACAAAATGTTGATACTTTCATTTTCAAAATAATCAGAGGTGGACTGTAAGGAAGTACATTCGTTAAGTATTCTCGAACAAATATGAAGTACTAAGTTTTCTTTTTTTTCACAGACGGCAACACTATAAAAATATGGTATTTTACAACATGATGCATTGTAGATTAAACTACTACCCAACAGTATATTGCCGGCTGCAGTCATGTCCTCATCTCATATATAAAACACCTCTGATTCACAAATACTTGCTAAGGAACTCGCATTCACATAAAGTAGCCTTGTTGACAAGTTTGGGTGAGTAAGGGCAAAACGCAGTACTTTCAGTGACCTGTAGCAGGCAGTATCACGTCTTTTGTAGCAGAAATAAACTGCTGCAGAAAAAGCTAGGTCCATGCAAAATGTAATGTGTAACTGCAACACTCATTTCAAATGTAGTGGAGTAAAGAGTACAGATACTCATTCAAAAATGTAGTGAAGTAAAGAGTAAAAGTTGCTAATATCTTTGATACTCAGTACAACTACAAAGTACCCGAAAATATACTCAAGTACAGTAACTAATTACATTTACTCCAATACTTTACACCTCTGTTGTTATGCTTTTATCAACTGTTTGGACTCTCATTCTGACAGCACCCATTTATTGCAGAGGATCCATTGGTTAGCAAGTGATAATGCTAATTTTGTGTAGTGATTTGGTCCATCTCAAACCATTTCATGTCATACATGAGTGCATATGTATACAAAGTCCAGGAAAATACTGTAGATTTTGAAGTGCTGACAGTGTTGCTGCTTTTGTTTTGTGTAAATGTATTACCCGATCTCATGAAAGTGCGTATCAATAGCACAAATTTGTTTCGATTTGTCGTAGGCCTACTATTTATACTCAGAAATGGACTTCATCGGATACGCAATGGGTAGGATTAAGGTTGTGGGGTAGATGCGTATGATATGTACACGAAAACTGCATATTATGTTCACACCAAAATCAATTTCTGCGTATCAACAGCAAGACTTTCTGTTTGTATTTGGCGTAATATTTATACGCATTTTCATGAGACCGGGCTCAAATGTAATGCTGCATTACAGCCACTTAAACTTTAGCAGCACACTTCTTATTTTCTGTCAGCTATATAGGTCTACTGTAGGCTAATCATCCAACAGCAGGGTTCGTACGGGAATGAAAAACCTGGAAAAGTCATGAAATTTAAAATCAGCAATTTCCAAGCCTGGAAAAGTTTTGGAAAAATAAATAAACCCAGAAAGTTTTGGAAAAGTCATGGAAAATGTATTTTACAAATCTCTATATAAAAGAATGTTTAATCAGGTCTTGAATTTCGGTGCGGGAGTGTGCATATCTATCGCATAGTTTTACTCATTCCCGCAGCTTTCGTGTTTAATATGAGGGAAATTCCCGTACATGTATTCAAAATAGCGTGTAGGTTAGATGAGTAAAAAAAAAAACCATCCACACAGACTGTCAGATTAAATCAGTCATTTGAAAACCGTGTGAGTGATTCAGCTGAATCGTCTCTCTTTCACTCTCTCAAAGCGGCTTCTCATCGGATCTCGTGTGCTCTACAAGAATTTCTGCACGCTGTCATTTCGGGACAGATTAAAGGACTAATTGGGTCACGTTCCATCGTCACAAAATGTATAATTTGCACCTCTTTTTAAATACTTTTAAAGCCATTCAGTACTCGCGCGCTCCAAAGGTGCCTTTCTGCGTGCTTACGGTCACATCCAAAGCGCGCGCGTGTGAAGCTGCTTCGCGAGTATCTTATATTGTTTTTTTTTCACAGTTTGTTGCACTTAAGCGGCAAAATACACACAAAATGACGTCAAAATTCAAATCAATTAATGTTTATTTGTATAGCGCCTTTTAAGACACAAATCGTTGCAAAGCAGCTGTACAATATATGTTTCTATAATATATTTAGTAGTAGCTTATCAGTGATGACTGTCAGTAAATATGGCAGAAATGTACAAAAAAAATAAATTAAAGACGTAATCAAACAGACTATGAACACTATTAACAGCAATTATTATATGTTGCAATCAAACTTATAGCAAAATTTGGTAGTTCTGTATGTTGTTTCAGGGTTGGCATCATCTGAGGTCCTAAAAATGGCCGTCCTGGCGAGTATCCTCGTAAACACAGTCGGTTTTGTCTTAAGTGAATGTAAACAATTGAGAAAGAAAACGTATTAATTTCAGTTATTGCATCCGTGCAGTCGGTCTTGTGACGGCAAAACTGTGCCGTCTGTCATTAATGTTAATCAAACAACAAAAGACAGAAAATCACTCACTGCTCTTGACTGAATAACCTTTGTAACTTTAATTTGTTTTTAATTTAGTTTATTCAATTTTCTAATATTTTTGTACCTGAATACTATAGAAAAGGTTTCCAAAACTAAATTCAGGTCCCGAGTTTAACTGATAATATTGGTTAAACAAATGACAATATTCAGTGATGTCATCATGATTTGTTCTCCGTGTGGAGTAACGTCTTCTGCAGTTGCAGCTTGTACTTATTAACACAAATAGAAAGCAAACCAGTAGCATTAATAGTCATTTATTTTAGTTAACATTTGCTATGATAAATTTGAACAGATTTTTATTTTTATTGTAAAATAATGGAACATTAGGCTGATGATACACGGGGCAACTTTTTGAACAATATTGCTGGGCAACTTTGGTTAATGTTGGCATCAATGGGCAACCAGGTGTGAGACAGGGCCTACGACCAATTTAATGTATCCAGACAGAAATTTGTTACCCATTCTCAGTGGGAAAGTGAGAAGGGTCTGGCTGCAGACTTGCACTCTCAGACACTTGCGCTTCCGCAAGTGACGTCACTTGCAGTCTTTATTTTTTATTTTGTTCTATTCATTGATTATTTTTTGTTTGAATCTCTCAACATTTTACAACAGTAGCCAGATGGTGAAGCCAAGAAAAAAATAAACTAAATTACAATGTCACTTGAAATCGCCACTTTCACTCTCCGCTACCTGCGACGTCACTTGCAATCGATACAAATCGTGCATATTGCCAATGGAGACAAGACGCTGTGGTGGTGATTTAATGATTAAAACTAATTTTGTACAATAATGCAC